AAAATGGCGGAGATATTGAGCAAAAACGCTTCTCTTTTAAATTCCAGTTGGCGGCTAACACAACAGTGGTACTCGCGATTTTAAATTTACACTAATATTGACCCCCTTAAAAGTTAGAATAATAAAATTTAGGGTAGCGCGCCGTGAATGGGGAGGTTTTTTTTTTCGTCTAACCCGACAACTGGACTAGGAGTTTTTAGCTTAAATTAATCCATATTACCATTGTTTACATTTATTTACGTTTATTCTTTCTTAAAATACCCCAAAAGAGTATATCGCTCATTTTGTTATTTATTTTATTTAAAATTCCAGGATTAGATCAAAAGCATTTAAAAATCAAAAAGTATACATTTTTTTGAATGTGCAAATATTAAACATTGACTTACCTTTTAAAATTAAGGCACAAAACATCAAAGTACACAATTTTTTCTTCATTTTTGTTTATTATTAATAAAACACTATCACAAAAAATTAATATTTTAAACAAAACATTGATAAAAGAAATGAGACGTTTTCTTTGAGTGCTACAAGTCCCACAGATTTTACAGTACTCTGCAAATATTGATGCTTTGATTGGACTGGTCTCTCTATCAAGCTGGAAATTATTGACCCCTCCAGATACAACAAGCATGGGCGTCTCAATTTTAAATACAAAATAAAATATTTCTAAAATTGTAAAAGATTGTTTCACAATTCTCTTGAAATGAACTGTGGATTTGACAGTTTTTCTTCGTTTAGCAGATCTCGTATAGGAAGTAAGCGACGATAAATCTAATTTTTATTCTATTTGGCTCTTCTGGACGCGTCGATCACACCATTTCAGCCCAGAATTTTAATAACCTTCGTCCAGTGACTCCTGACTCCTCGTCAATCATTCACACTTCTTGTTTTTGGTTAACTTGTTAAGTATTTTGCTTTCTGTTTAATACAAAATAATAACAGATAGGTATATTGAAGGTGCATCCTTCATTGTAGATTCTTATATTTTATTTATTGTATATATGTGATACATCTTAAATGTCCTTATTAACGAATGAATTTGCTTCAGTGATGTTAACACGTTAGGTAACGAGTTGGGCTCTTCTCCGCTGATCTCTTGATAGAATATTATCTACGAGTGTAAAATCGGGATGATTGTAGACCTGAGCTCATATCACCTGCCGATATCTTGACGGATGTCCGAGTTTTAGATTCTTAGTTTTATGGTTTAATTATTACTTTGCTCACTTTCTTATTTATAATCTTAACACAATTATTAATATTATTTTTAAACTGTTTATTTGTGCAATCTCAGTTTTTATTAAACACGTCTTTAGAACTAAACAACAATAATTGTAAAACAAACTTTTTCTTTTAAAGCTTTTAAAATTACCAAAACAAGATCGTTTGCAAAGACATATTTTATATAAACTTTTGTTATTCTTGCCAGTATAATAAAAAATTATCAACTATAAAGTATAGTACCTATTTGAAACTACTTTTAATATATTTCTGATTATACAACCAGAAATCAGTAAAAATGAAATAAAAAAGGCACTCAAAGAAATGAAGAATAACAAATCTCCTGGGAAAGATGGAATAACTGTGCAAATGCTAAAAAAAGGGGGGGAAACTACAGTGGAAGTCCTTTATCATCATCGTCATCACTGGCTCGACAACCCTTTTTGGGTCTTGGCCTGTTCCAGGATTCTTCTCCATTCTGATCTGTTTCGTGCTTTTTTCCTCCAGTTTTTTATTTTTAAGGTTGTTATATCATTTTCTATTTGTTCTAAGTATCTCAGCTTCGGTATTCCTCTTGTTCTTTTCCTACTGGCATCTGTTTGAATATTTTGTTTGGTATTTCGTCTTCTTCCATTCTTTCTACATGTCCTATCCTGTAGTCCTGTAGGAAATCCTTTATATACTAATGAATAAAATATTGAACACAAAACAAATACCCACCACATGGAACGAGACAATAACACTATTATTATTTAAGAAAGGCGATAGAAAAGATCTGAAAACTATAGGCCCATAACGCTACTTAATGTAATGTACAGACTGTTAACTAAACTACTAACAAACAGGTTAACAACTAAGTTAGATAATTACCAGTCAATAGAGCAAGCTGGTTTTAGAAAAGGATTCACTACAAGCGACCATCTGCTTACGATAAAAATATTAATTGATAGGGGCAACGAAATGGCATCCTGAAATCAACAACGAAAAACGAAATTCCAATCTATATGGCATTTGTAGACTTTAAAAAAGCATTCGATAAGGTGGAACATTGGCCAGTAAATAACTCTTTACAAAATGGGAGAATAGACTATAGATATACGGACTTAATTTCCAATATATATGATCAAGCAACAACGTCCATTAAAATTGTTAAACAAACTGAGCCTATTAAGATACGGTGAGGAGTCAGACAGGGTGACACTGTATCATCCAAACTATTCAACCAAGCTTTGGAAGACGTTATAAGGCAATTACAATGGGAAAAATAAATTTTGCCTTCGATAATTCACCCAGGTATTTTATAGCTATCCCCTTGCATTAGGTATCCGATGTACATTAGCTTATGATTAGCTCTTTGATCGTTGGTATTAGCTCCTTGTTCTTCGGCATTGTATTAAGAACTTCGAAATTTGTTGTTATTTTCGTCCAGGAAATGTATAGTATTGTCCTATAAAGATATATTTCTAAAGTATCGATACGTTTCAGCAAGGATTGACGTTCCAGCTCTCGCAGTCGCAGGAAAGGATTGGAAACACATAACAATGTAGCATACGTATTCTCAGTTTAGCATCTAGGTCATGTCTGATAAAGAAGGTCTTCTTGTCAATAAACGTCTGTCTAACATGTTCTTTTGACAAAACTGCTGCTCAATAGCATAGCGAGGTATCTGAGGACGTCAGTTGTTCAATGATCGTGTTGTGTATACTTAATATTTGGAAATTTACAAAAACCTTAAGTAACGTAATGAAGCCAAAATTAGACCACTCTAATTATGCTGATATTGTGGGCGTCTTGAGACTCAAAATGACCAAGATCAGATTTGTGATAATTGAGTAAAAAATGTTTTTATCAAATTAACCACTTGTGTCAGTTTGCTCCATACGCGGGACACAGTGAAAAATCATATGGTGTAAAATGAAACGTAAGTAGGTACATCTCAAATATATAAAAAAAAACAACTAAAAATCATATATTGACCTAAAAGTTCACTTCCTATATTAATAATAACTATTATTATTATGTAAAAAAAGAAAAATCAAAGAAGCGGCTCTAATTATGCTAAATGAGGCCAATTGTGTCGCAAATTCCTCGGCAGAATGTAGTAGGATCTGGTTACCAATATTGAAAGAGGAAGTTATTAATAAGAAAATACCAGTATTAGTAAGTCAGTAACATATAGAGGATACATCATTTATATTTTTTAAATAACGTAACATATAAAATCAGAATTTTGATGTTTGTTGAAGGTAAACTAAATTCACGAACAAATACTTACAATGTCGGGATAGTATTATGAGGTTTTTTTCCTGGTTTTTCCCTCATAATTTACTATGGAATCACTAACAGGAGAATTTTACTGTCATCATGTCATGTGTTTGTCTTTTTAAAGACGAATTACATGCTATGATTTTTTCTGACGGATATTCTCAAGTTAAAGTTGATTTCATGTAATCGAATGAACTATCTTATAAGTAAAGTCGTCCCAGGAGCGCAACTCAACAATATTGGCAATATCATTTTAAAGTCGTCTACTTTAAAATGCATAATGTATGTCTGAATTGTCAATATAAATGAGTCAGATAAAATTAAATTATTAGAAAATTTTTTTCACTATGTAACAAAAAACAAAATTTGTTTAATTTACTGTTTGTATTTTGAGAACGATTTCCGAATTGGAAATTGAAACGTCAATAAACGTATTTTTATCTTTAATTGTGGCTTATTCCCAGTTATAAATAGTAATTAATAACTATTATTGGTAAAATGAACATAATTTCTTATTTTTTTACACAAAACAAATTTTTTCATGCGCAAGTGAATTGGGTCTGTTAACACTACCAAAATCTCTTCTGTAAATAACACTAAGATCATCTATCTGAGGAAATATAAAAATGTGTTTACGGTGTCTATAATTTCTTTTTTACTCTATTATCTTGAGTGATAAGTAGTACCCATATAAATTCGTCTTCCTGTATTTCCTTTTTTGTATCAATGTAAAGTCTTCCGTCTCGAAGTTTTCATTTTTGATAACTTTTTCTTTCTTTATATCGTCAATCTTAATATTTCTTTTAATAGCCGCAGTTTTCTTACTAGGCATTTTTGAGGATAATTTCAGTTCATTTAAATATGTAGACAAAGTTATTACAATGTTTTACCGATTCTTCTTTCGGTTTTAGTTTTTTGTTTTCCAAAACCTGTTTTTGAAATGGGCATAATTTCAGCTGGGAACCAGAGTGGTTCACATTGTGTCTTAAGATGAGTTACTCAAGTAGATGTGGATGGAAGTCTTTCATTACCAACGTTGAGGTTGGAGATGTTTCCAATTCCACAGCTTCTACTTTATACGATTTTGACTGTATAGAAGAAAGGAACTGTTTTTTCTTCGTTTTTTGATATAGAGGGAAGCGTAATGACACCTGAAGACAGTTCTATGTATATTTTTATTCTTAGTTGCTACATCAGCCGATGTAGATGGAAAACATTGGTTACCATCGTGTTTTGCATTTCTAGATCCTGGTTATTCTAAAATTTCTAAACAAGAAGAAAATCATCAGGGTAAATACCGATATATGGAATATATTTTATTCATTTATAATATTACATTTTTAAGGTTAGCTTTATTCATTTATTTACGCATTTCTCAATTAAGTTTTAGAAGAGCAGCAATTTGAATTCAGCAAAGACATGGGAACTAGAGAAGTTATGTTCTGCCTTCAAGTACTAGCACAAAAAAACGTTTAAACCGTCAAAACGACATATTTATATGTTTTATGGATGTCGAAAAAGCTTTTGATCGAGTTACTCATAAAACTTTATACTTACTTATATTTACTTATATTAAAACCTCTACTTCTCTCTAACAAAAAAGTTAATACATATAAGAATAAAAGGTGCATTATACAACAAAAGTGCAAGAAGGTTGCGTCCATTCACGTATCATATTTATCGTATTTTCTGATATGATTTTCTAGTCAATCTAAAAAAAATGTAAAGTAGAATAAAAATAAATGGTGTAAACGTGCAAATACCAATATACATCTAAAAGCAGCAACTAGAAATAGTGGATACATATAATTATTTGGGCCTGATAATAAGTAGGGAAATGTCCCCTGATGATGCTCGTTTGTTAAAATAAAACATATATATTCTGTAATATGGTTCTCTGTTGAAAAATTGTTGTTATATTTGGCATTGAAGCATTTTCTTCTTATCTT